GAGCCGGGACCAAGACATCTGATTGGTTGGACCCACTTCCTCTACAATCTGATTGGTTATCTCTCTGAAACAATCATTTTTCCTTCTGCTCTCAGTACATTTTTGTGTAAGTAAAACTCCCATGAGCGTGTAGGTTTGTGCCACAGGAGAGTACTAACACACACTGTATTCTTGACCGGATGGGTTCTGCTGGGGACCAGGCCAGGCCTTCCGGAAGACACGCTTCTCAGTTCCCTCTGTCGTGCGCTCCCGTACTTAAACACCGGCGGTGCTGTAAGCGGGAAGGAGCCGTCCCCTTGGTCACAGCGGGATTCTTTTTCTCTGAACAGTTTCTTAACCAGTCTTGGATGCCAAAACTGCATTGACTACTTCACATCCCAGGGCCTGCAGAGCGTGTATCACCTCCAGACCCTGTCTATGGAGGTAAACTACAGCTCTCTCGTCATCTTCACTTCTGCTTTGTGGCCATCAAACTCCAGTCCTTGCGGGCCATGCACTGTGCTGGTCTCCATCCCTGCAGAGTACTTATTTTACAGAGCCTTTGATTGGCAATTTAAATGACAAAATGACCAATTAAATGTGTTGGTTCATGACCCACTGTCACCTTTACTGTTTCTAAACCAAATTTGTTAATTGTTATTTAAAAGGTTTTACAGGTGTAATCCTGGGCTAAATTATACAATATTAAATCATAACTTAATTTAAAATAGTCGTAATTTATTACTTACGGCCTAAGAGTGATTAAATAAAATCTCATTAGTGGAAATAACTCAAGGGCTGCATTCATTTTAAAGGATGAAAATACGTTTTGTTTATTTGCATCAATACCACAAATATTCAGATTTTTTTGGCAACATTTCATGGTGGAGCCCAGTTGCACATAATCATGTCTGTTTGTAGTGTTCGTGGCCTGAGCATCTAATAATAAACACATGGCGTGATGTTCCTGCTTGTTTGTGCACAGTGATAGTTGATCAGTGCATTGATTGCTGATGTCTCATATTGTACACAGTCTCGATGGGCATGTTTGTTAATTGTATGGTAGTTAGCGTATACAGTGACGTCGACGCCTGCAGTCATACACAAACACAGCCGAGCAGCTGCGCCGCCTTCTGTACGCGGTCGCGCTCTGTGGTCGATTGCTCATGCCTGTTGGGCCGGGTTGTGTCAAAGTGGCTCAGCGCTGTGTCTGCTCCCCCCCCCATCAGGACCTGGGGGCCCTGAAGATTCCCGAGCAGTTCCGCCTAGCCATCTGGCGGGGTCTGCAGGACATGAAGCAGGGCCACGACTACGGGCAGCAGCTCATCCGCTCCAGCAGCAACGCGGGCATCGGGCCGTCGGGCGAGCTGCAGCGGCAGCGTGTCATGGAGGCTGTACACTTCCGCGTGCGCCACACCATAACCATCCCCAACCGGGCCGGCACCGGCGAGGACTGGGCCGACTTCGGCTTCGACATGCCAGACTGCAAAGTGCGCAAGCACTCCATCAAGGAGGAGTTTGCCGAGAGCGACATCCACTAGGTCGTCGCCCATCTGGCCTTGTAGCTACACTATTCACATCCTTATTTAAAGACTGAGAATCTTCCGGAATCAATAGAGGTTGTGCTCGGCTTCAGCTTATATGACCATTATGACCTATCAAAAACAACTGTTCTTTCCCATTATTTTTTCCTATTTCCTATAAAGCACTCCCAAACTGAGGTTATTTTCAGTCAGTCTTGCCTACAGTCTTTGGCCAGTTTGGATAGTTCACCTCTGTCTCTTTTCCCAGGTACTCGCAGCCTTTTATCTTGAGAAAACGGTGACTTTGATCGATAATCAGAGGCCGGCCTGCCATCATGTAGCTGGGACAGTTTTTTAGCGGGATTCTTGGGTCCCGGCTCACGTAGCTAAGCTCCCCGCATGTGTGTCGTGGTCACAACCTCATATTCTCTCTACATGGGCAGAAGCCAAGGCCTCTATGGACCACAGAAAAGCCCCTCGCTGGTGCCTCGCCCAGTTCCCCCTCGACTGTAATACTGCTGTTCCCTACTCCGTCTAAGTGGCCAGCAGCTTGCTAATTTATTTAACTGCCAACTTACGAATGTGGGGGGAAAATGTATTGGTTGAACAAAATGTGTCATCAGTTCTTTTCTTCTGTGTACATATACATGTAAAACAAAATGTGGTTTTGTTCTCAATCAACAGAAAGTGTTCATTGATGTGTTGAAATGTATCACGTTATACATAGATCAATCGGCAGAAAAATGGCCGTATGCTTCACAAATGTGGATTTTAAATACACAGCATGTGTACATGTGCAAGGGAGCACATGTATGACCCATTCCACCCGCACGTCTGCTTTTGCCGTGGAAACAAATTCTGACTATTGAACATGCTCCGTGTGGTTTTACAGTGCAGTAGTTTTGATGGAGACTGAATTCATGGTAAGAAATACAGAGACGTTGCGAATCATTAGCTTTGTCCTTAGTTTATGGTATTTTGAATAGGTCACAGCTCTCCTTCAAACCCACCGTATAGCTTGGATTACAGCAAGAGATCGTTTCTGTAACTAGATCGGCCGGCTGTTGGATACCCTTAGACTGAAATTTCTCTACTGTTGAAAATCAAGTACAACTAACTAAATGCAGTATTATGGGCTGGATATGCATACTTACTGTTTTTCAAAAGTACTATAAGCACATTTGGTATTGGTAGACACTAGAGGCATTCTTATTGTATTATAATATAAATATATAGAAAATATAAATGTTCTTTAAGGATGGAAAATTGATATCTTTTCCCTTTAGGAATTTGCTGATTGAGCAGTAACCATCGAAAGGGAAATAATATTTAATCCACGGGGCTGGGCTGGGTTGTGCAACTTCGAATCAAACTGGATTCTGGTCAGGAATTGGAAATGCCAGTGTTCTGTGGCAGACTTGGCTGTTGGAAGCTCAATGAGTGTAACGATGGTTCCTGTTGAGTAACATCACTGAAGTGTTCATTGTCGACTCACACCTTTTGATAGGATCGTTTTTCTTAATCCTGGTCACCCATGGAGAATGCCGGTTTCTGATCAAGCTGGGCTCTTAATTAGCTTTGGTTAATGCATAGTTGAAGACTTGCTGTATTAAAAAAAAAAAAAAAAGCCTGTTATCCCGTAGATCAACTTTCTGTTTCTCCACCTTTAAACCACAGCCAAGAAATCAAAGGAATGACAATTTGCTGAATAACAGAATCAGATGTACAGTCGCTACAGCAAAACTGTAGATGCATTATCCACTATGTAAAGCCACATTTATGTTAATCAATTAATACTTAAAACTCTGCAAGATACCAGTTGAGCAAATTCTCAACTTTCAGGATTGGGATTAAGACCCAGGGAATGCGTCAAGATGCAAAATTAGAAGTGACAGGAGATCATGTAGTTCTGTACTCCGCTACTCTGGCCTGAACGTGTTGGTTGCGCACCCAGCTATTGCAAATAGATTTTCATGATTTTGAAAAATATTTCATTGTGTTGTGTGTATCCATGTTAGTCTTTGAATTCCAGTACCATGCTGACAACCCGTCTTCCGCTTTCAGTCTTTCACGGAACAGTTTTTTCCCCTTATATTTGTAAATAATTAATAATGACAAAGGGAGACATCGACAGCATTAATCATGCTAAGTTTAAGTTTAGTCCTTTTGCAATATTCAGCGTGATAACAGTGTGAAGTGTTTTTGCCTGTATAACAAAAGCTAGAACTGAAATCTTTTTGGTTTTTTGTTTTGATACTCTTACCTTTAATTAACATTGTTTTTTTTTTATTGTTTTTTAATGGTCTGAATGTCCTTGCAGGGCAAGGTGTCGTATTTATCTCTGAATTATACTCCGAGAGAAACCCTCCTCAGTGTTCATTCATTCATTTCTTCCCCCTTTTTTTCCCTCCTGGATGAGAATGTCATCCTTTCATCTACAGGCATCCTAACAATCAAATATCGTACCAAAAGGCTTTTCCGTTACCTGTCTCAGCACTTAATGTAAAGTCGTTTGAAGGTGATGTAGGGCTGGACGTTCCTCTTCTGATGAAATTTCACGTTCCGTCTGTCTTCCTAAAGACCTAGTGGCTGCCTAGCAACCGGTATTGCTTTTCTTCCTGTCCTACATCCCAGATGTCGAGGCAAACACCTCGACAGCCATATTCATATGTACCTGTACACAGAAGAGTGTAGCTGATTTTAAGAGTGGTGATAATAGCTGAACTACTGGAAACATTTCCGTGTACAGATACAGAGCATTGTACTATAATTAGGTAAAAAAAGGACCTGGATGTCATACAAACCAGGTGACAGATGACTAAAAGGCGGTAGGTGGGTTTAATTATCCAATTCATCATTTTTGTCTGGTGGCAAATGTATATGTGAAAAAAGGGGATGCCTTGTCCTTCACCCTCATACGAAATAAAATGAAAATGTGATTAAAATATTTTATTACGTTATCCCTTTTATAAAACACCAAACCTGATAGAGACAGCATATATTTGCGTGAAATCTTCTGTTCAGAAATGGTAGCACTAGCTTTTGGGGTTGATGGTAATTGTCCCTTTGGTTAGACATCAAAGGAATCAAATTAAATGTTCATTATTCATAAATGCAGTATGAAATGTTAATCTTAAGATTTTAGATTTCTGTTTTTATCTTCAGAGCTGTACAACATTGCAAGTTTTCTGTCCCATTTTAGGTAGAGAGGACGAGGGTGTCATGATGCTTATTTTTACAGCGTTGTCTCACAGCCAGTCGTGGACGTATCGTGTCATAGAAAGGCTCCAGCAGTCCTACTTTTCTCTACAGAATAATCATGCCGTTTCATATTTTTACAGTTAATGATATTTGAGCTGTGCTGGTATCCACAAATCAAAGCAACTTATCAAATGTCACTTTGGCGCAGGGTTAGGGTAGCGTGTGAGTCGGGCAGGAGGTGCGGTGTGTGTGAAAAGGGAAGAGAGTGTATTGAGAGAAGTGTGTGGGGGCAAGAGTGTGCTGTGGTGCTTTTTGGAGGATGATGACTGTAGCATTTTGCCTAGTTAACTTCGCTCAAGGGTACGACATCAAGATACCTGCTGGGATTTGAACTAGCAGTGAGCAGGTTAAGAGCCCAAGTCTGCCCATTAAAGACAGCAGCAGTTCTGTATTGCTTGTGAAGGATAAGACTCGCTTCAAATATCCCCTGCAACTGCAAAACCATCATGGTGAAACATGGTTTCTAACCCCCAACCTGGAATACAGTGTGTGAAATTCAGTCCGCATTAAGTTTATATGTTTACCTTCAGAATCCAACGGAGTCCCTCTGGCAGGAACACAACCTCAGATCAATGTTTTTATACGGATGAATTCTTCACAAGAAAAACAAACTAAGGGACTAAATATAACAAAACTGAAGAAGTGTAATTATATGTACATATATGTCACAAATGCACAGGGAGAAAGCACCAGAACAGTCACCAGAACACTAAGTCTTTGAAGCATAATATCACAGTTACAATAGTACATTTGGAAGACGAGCCTTAATAAGACTTCAATTAAATTACCCAAGTGTGAATCTGCTACAAACTCTACTCCTACAGTGAGTGTTTTCATGACTATTTTCTAAAAACAAATAAATCTGATTATTTGGAAAACATACACCGTCCCTATATTCTTAGTGCAGGTAGAGTATCACTGGTGATCCTCTAAAAACCGACAATATGCTCAGCGTGATATCCTAAACTGATAAAGCGTGGAGCTGGTATATATTTCTAAAGGATGGATCTCTGGGCCTTCGTCCCTCTTTAGCTTCAGCTTTTGAAACGATGACTTGCGACAGGCCGTCAGTCCGTCTCGTATTGCACCTAACCCCACTTATAAACCTGATTAACCTACTAAGAGACGTAGCGTTTACAGTCGAACAGGGCGAGAGGGAGGAGAAATGGGAGCCAAGGAGCGCGACAGTCCAGGTGACACGGTGTGAAAGCGAATCACTCCGATGGTGCCATGAAGGCGACGCGTCACGCCTCGGTCTTGATGGTGGTGGTGCTGTTGGCGGCCATGTGGCGCAGGTCCACTGCAGAGCCGCTCTTCCAGGCCTGCTCAGCGGCCGCCGCGACCTGCACCGTCCACAGGTACTGCTCTTTGGTGAAGAACGGCGCCTCCCGTCCTGTTGTGGGCAGAAACACGTGTCGGGGCCTGAATCTAACTGCACAATGACTGCTTATGTCTGAGGATCCAGGTGAGGGTTATGTTTTGGCTGTCGGTCAGGCCCCCCCCCCCCCCTTAGTTTAGGAAGATCAGTGGGTCTACATGGCTGTGGATGGCTTAGGCTTGGAGGGTCTTCAATGGACCTCCACTCCAGGCTAAATAAAATGTGTATGGATGGATGGATGGATGGACGGACAGATGGACAATTGGTATATGGGTGCTCTTACCCAAACCAATTTACAGTGTTATGTTATGTTATTCCCTACAAAACACTGACATGCCATATTTCTAAATCCTCCTGGGACAATCTTTAAAACATGAACCAAATGAAAGCCCAGCAAACCACGTGCTGATACAGTTCAGCTCTTCATGTATCACAACAGCCTCAAGGCACATTTTCATTTTTATAAAGCAGAGATTAAAATCATTTTCAATGTTTAAGATGTCGGTTTTTGGCTTGCTTGCCAAATGCATTCGTTTTACTGCTATCTGTCCCTGTTGCTTGTCTAATCAGGTAATCAGGTGTCTGATGAAGTCTTTTCAAACTCTGCTTTTACATGCCTTTGTCCAACTGTCCTTTATTAACCCCTCAGTCAATGTCATTCTATGTTAACTTAGCATCTCATTAGCATTATATTTTGTATTAGTTTAGCATCTGACCCGCAGTCATACTTTATGTTGGCTTAGCATCTGACCTTCAGTTATACTTTATATTAGCTTAGCATCTACATATTGGAGGAAGAGAAGTTAAATGGCTGGTTTTTGGAGGAGCAGGCTGCCTGTGGCTAATGCTAGCTGAGTTCCAACTTTAGCTTCCGTGACATTATTGTGATTGTGGGGTCCCATCACTACACAGGGAGGTCACTGAGGAGGCCGTCCGTGACTGCTGTGTCACCTGACCTCGAAGCGTGCGGAGGAAGTGGCGCAGCAGTTCCCCGTGGGCGTCCCGGAAGCGGTCGGCGGCGCTCTGGGGGCGGGGCCCTGGCGAACGGCTGTGATCGGAGATGCCCAGCGGATTCCTGTTCTCCATCTGCAGGGAACCCTCAGAGCCGTACACCTGAACCATAACCAAGGGCCAGGAGATGCACCCAGGATATAGAATAGAATAGAATAGAATAGAATAGAATAGAATAGAATAGAATAGAATAGAATATCTTTATTGTCATTCAGACACTTGGGCTCCCATGTTTATAAAAAAAAAACACACAACACCAAAAATATAAAAGACACAAGCAGCATACTAGTGAAGTAAAAGGGAAAACCTATGTTGAAATTGATATAAATAATACATTTTAATGATTCTTTCCAGGATGAATCATATATTTACACCACAAATGGGTACAAATTATATAAATGTGTGTGTGCTTGTGTGTGTAAAAAGATTATACTGACTGCTGAGTATTAACAAAGAATTAACAATTCATCTACTTATAGTCCAGAAAGGTAATTTGAATGACTATTAAAAAATGCACGAACACGCACACACACGCACACTCACGCACGTGCACACTCACGCACGTGCACGCACGCACTTCAAGTCTTTGGTCGCAGCTCTTGTTGCAGTGCTGGCTCACGTCTAGGGATGCGATGGCGCCACTGGGGAACTTCATGCTGACAGAAATGGCATCGGCGTCACTGAGGGAAGCCATCTCTGCGGAGAGAGCCCACGGCGGGTCACTCTGCTATCCGGCGTCGGCAGACTGCCCTACTTCACTCTGCTATCCGGCATCGGCAGACTGCCCTACTTCACTCTGCGGTGTTTCGCTACATTGATGTTTGTGCATGTTTTCATTCAGGGCCCACAAGAAGATGCGCGAGCGACTCAGCACTTGTGCTACACGCCCAGGTGATGTGTGGCTTAGCAAGTTAGGACACTGATCTTGCGCTTGGAAGGTCACTGGTTCAAATGCCACGATTAGCAGTGCTTCACCTTGGGCACAAGCCTTAACACAAAATCACCAGCTAAACAGACAAAACGTAGAAATATATTTCAGTGAAACAACAGTACATCCAAGCACTAGCTATGATTTCTTGCTTAAGAAACAGCCACTAAGTGTGAGGTGTCTGTCCAATTCCATGCACTGATGGCTTTATACACAGTGATGAAACAACACTGGAAAATCACTAAGTGTAGCAGAGCGTCTACAGGTCACGTCAGAAGGTTCCGGCTTCACACCTGCACAGAACGCATGGCCCAGCGAGAAGATGGTGTCTGGGATCCGCTCCCCCAGCATCCAGCAGATGATGTCGATGTCATGCACAGCCGCACCGTGAAAGATTCCGCCTACAGCGAATGACAAAACAGGAAAACGCCCATCAGGTGCGCTGCACGGCACATACATCAATGTCCAACAAGGGACCATTACTAAAATCAATGTCTTTTACATTATTGTATGATTACGTAATAACTGATCTCACAGTGGAAGCCAGTGCTGTAATGCATAGAGAATATACAAAGTCCCATATCTAACCTGTATTCAGACTCTTTGGGAAACGTGACCATGTAGAAATATAAGATTCATACCTGATGATCTGATAGTGGCGACAGAAGGCTGAGGATACATGCGGCTCACAGCTGAGATCTTCTGTATCCTGCCGAGACTGTCGTTCTCGTTCACTCGCTTGTATAAGTACTGCAGGGCTGGGTCAAAGCGTCTACAGCAAACAAGGCAGACGTTCGCTCTAAGCCACGGCACACATGGGCTTCCGCAAACAGAAAATGGAGCGGGAGACGTACTTGTAAAAGCCGCACACGAGCGGTCTCCCTCGCCGGTCCGCTTCGTCGAAACAAGACTCGGCGATGTTCCTGTCTAAACTGGGCAGCCTTTCACAAAACACCCCTTTTCCTGCAAAACGCAACACGCCTGAATGACCTCACATCATATGCAGGATGCATTTCTGTCCACGGTACATTCCATTGGTGAGAAAATTAGTTTCTGAATTGTTTTGAAGGGATGAACCTGCACGTAAGGCACGAAGGACAATCGCAGAGGCCTCGTTTGGTGGAGAACAGACGATGACTCCTGTAACCCTGGAAGAAGAGCAGACAAACAGCATCTTAGCTTAGCAGCTGAAGCTAATGAACACCAAAGAAGCCCCTGATCTATAACAGACAAATCCTAACATTCTATTATCCATCCACCCATTTTCTGAAACCGCTTGTCCTATTCTGGGTCGCGGGGGGTCCAGAGAATACCCCGAAGGCTATGGACGCAAGACATGGAACAGCCCAGAATGGGGCGCCAACCAACCAGGGGTAGCCATCTTTAACAACACTTAGATGTATCAATGGTCAATTAATCAGATTGATCATTATAAAGAGAAAAATGGAATAATAGGAATTTCCCCACTAGAGACCAAAAGAATATATCTACCTAACTTTATAGTGTTTTTATTGTTGTAAAAACTAAGACTTTTAGGTTTGTGGTGTGTCTAACTCTTTGGGTCAGATTCCTCTTTAGAATAGCATTAGCGTCTAGGCATATTGACAGCTAATTTCAACTAAATTTGGTTTTACTGAATATGAAGCTTTCCTTTTACTAAGTCATGCAGGTTTAGAGGATATACCCAGAAAATGTGTTTACAACAGTGTAATTCAGTATATACAACACTTTTCCATACAATGGGAGGTCATTTATGTTTATGCACATGGACGTGAGGGTAATTAATCTGACATTATGTCAGGCAGTAGCTCAAACAGCCAATCAGCATGGCCACCTTCAGGCGGCCAATCAGGTTTAGCAGCAAATAGCCAATCAGTCAGACGCAACCTCAGATATCCCACAGCTCACTCCCAGTTCCTGACCTACCGCGGGTCACTCAGCGCGATGTCTGCGTCGACGGCGCGCAACAGCCTGGCATGGGCCAGTCGCTCCTGGCTGAAGAGATCTTCCACTTCCCGGCGCTGGTCATTCACCGCATACAACAGCTGGCAGCGGCTCTCCTCCAGCAGGTTGCGGCACAGGGCCGTGCTGCCAGACCCCGCGCCGAACACCGCCAGCCCGGCACCAAAGCCACCCGGCTCCCATCCCCCGAAAGCAGGCCGGGCCACATCCGGGGGCAGCAGCCAGGGCCTTGTGCCTGATGCCGAAGTCCGTGGGGCGGACACTGCTGGGGTGACCACACCCTTCCTCTTGGGGCTACCACCAGCGCAAACGCCAGAACCTGACTGAGAGGGGGGGCAGGAGCGGGACACCGGGCTCGATGAGGAGCAGCAGTTCCCAGCCAAGATGAGCTTGGACTGCAAGGCCAGAGGAGACGCGGAGTCCGACTGTCCAGGAGAGCCTGGTGGGGCCTCCACTTCTGGTGACCTATGAAGAACCAATAACAGGGTCTTCTGTGGCTGTCCGTGAAGACGACGCACCAATCAGAGAAGGGCATGGAACCAACATGAAAAACCATGATAATCTCAGCATTTCACGGCGATCATAAGAAGGCATCATAAGGAGAAGCTAATCCAGAGCATTACAGTGCATTCTGAGTTCTTAAATGCACCAGACCAACTAAATGTTAAAGAGAAGACACAGGAGAGGCAGAGACATAACGAAGATGAACGCTTATGGGACGGAAAACTATTTTTAAAATACAAATACAACATGGATTTTATCAATTTCAGTACACAATGTTTTTCATATTTAAAATGACTGACATATATGTCATAAAATGTAATAATGAGTAATCATTTTAAATCACTTTGCATAAAAGTATTTTTGCATGAAAATGTAACGGAATCAACTACTAAGTGGGACAATAAGGTCAAAATGATCCCTGATCTAAACAAAATGTGAGGAATGCAAGCAAATGATAAATCGCTCTATTTTATGAACTGTCCAAAATACTAAAGTCTTGAGTCTACCAATGTCATTTATTTACACTGCCAGATTTCTTCATTACCATAAATTTTAAAATCCTGTGGTTACATTTTTAAATACAGTAAATATTTGAATCTTTAAAATAATCAATGTTTTAAAAGAAAATATTTAATAGACGCTGTAGCCCTGTATTGGATGAGTTCTGAAAAGTAGATGGGTTGATTGAGGGATTATTTAACTGAATATTGTGTTTTATTGCCATCTAGTGGCCATTAACATAGCTGCTCAATAAACAATTTCCGGTTTACATTAATATAAGTAATGGCTAAATTGAATATATTTTTAAAATGTACGTTTTATGGAAAGTAACATTCTGTTAAATAGGGTAGGATTTATACTGGTCAGCCATGCTGGTAGACTGGTAGAATAGAGGATACACTAATCGGTGAGATGCCTTCAATTTGTTTACCGCCTCTAATGCAACCTACTGCTTCCTTGGGATTTGCCATTCTGATTATTTGTACAGGTTGGAGTCTATCCCACAGGACAGGCCATACCTTAGATCTAACCCCAAGTTTTTTGGGTTTTTTTTTTTTGGACTGTAGGAGGAAAACAGAGTAACTGCTGAAGACCCACAGGAATATGGCATCCAGAGCCGGAGGATAGAATGGGACCCACACCTACGGCCCCCCGACCCGCCACCACACCTGCTGCCCCCCGACCCGCCACCACACCTACGGCCCCCCGACCCGCCACCACACCTGCTGCCCCCCGACCCGCCACCACACCTACGGCCCCCCGACCCGCCACCACACCTGCTGCCCCCCGACCCGCCACCACACCTACGGCCATTTATATTTGTATCCCACTTTGGACCCCCCAAATGGATCACTGATTGATTGATTGATACATTGATTGCACATGTATCCCAATTTCGGAGCTTTCGGTCACTGAAGTAACATGCAATCATGCATGCATCACAGTGTTGTCATTTTTGTGGAACCTGGGAGGCAGGGACTGAGGAGGCCGGGTGTAAATAGACGAACAGATGGGAAGATGCTATTTGCACCTGGGTGCAAATAGACGCTGCGAGAAAAAAAATGGCACACGGCATCCATTCAGCTATTTACACCTGGCCTTCTCAGTCCCTGCACCCTGGTTCCACAAAAGACATAAACTCTGCATTGCATGCATGGTTGAACGTCCCTTCGGCGGCTAAAGGTGGCAAAGTGGGATGCAAGTATAAAAGGTGGGGTCCATTAAACATAAAATGTAGCCTTGTATTGGCAATAGTTAGCTAGCCAAAGGCTCTCAGCAATCTTTTCTACTAGCGTGAGCATTAGCTACAGGGCTACGTTGGAGAATTTCCCTTTTATGTGTTGCACATGGAGGGGAAATATAGAATTTAGATTAGGGTGCAAAAAAAAAACTGTGTGGATTGATTGATTGCACATGTATCCCAATTTGGAGCCTTCGGCCACTGAAGTAACGTGCAACCATGCATGCAATTGTATTATCCAGGGAATTTTAGTGGAACCGCATTGTTAAGTGCAAATAGCATCTGCTTGCTATACACACCTGGGTGAAAATAGTCACTTTGGCTGTCCACCCCGGGTGCAAAACACCATTGTTGGCTACTGACACCTGGATGCAAAAGGCATCTGCCAAAATAAAACCCTCGACCGAAACCTGTGACATACTTAGCAAAAACTCATGTAATTTTCAACATTGTATAGCCAAAAAGAGCCAAACCATAATTAACCCAAATTTATATATATAAACTGAGGGAAGTTAATAAACGTTTAAACTGTTCTTGAGATCCTTGCGATTTAATAACAGTGGCGCTGGTTAACTGACATTTGGCACTAGTACCCTTCACGATTATCACCCTACAATGCATGTGCTTTATGTCTGGCAGCATTAAGGATGGCAAAGAATCAAACACAAAGCAAGCTAGTTTACAAATGGCATAAACCAAAAGGTATAACTCATAAATAATAATAGCACGAACATGTTTAAACTGTACAAATGACTGAGACCGGTTTGGTTGAAATCGGACATAAATGGGGGGCACAACTTTACCGAGGTGACGTCACCACGTAAACAAACATTTATATCTCAGTAACTAAAGCAGCACAAACGAAAATCTCAACGATACAAACTAGCACAGACGACTGAGACCGATTCGGTTAATATCTGGAACACATGGGGGGCCAACTTCCCGCAAGTGTTCAAGGCAACGATGACCGTGACGTGACGTGATGTATGATCACACAGCGTATGGAGCTTGACGGTGTCTAACGTCAGCTCACCACATAATTTAAACTTATCCACTTAACTGGCTTGATTTTACTTATTCTTATGATATTCTCTCCTCTTTTAAGAGCTAGTGCATATATGAAACGATGTGTACTCTAATAAGGGAACAAATTGCGTCCCTTATCGATTCAATACAGTACGCAGCATTTTATGTTCCAATACGGAACGATCCCGTATGGCAGCCCTACTTACAGGTGACTGGGCTTGCGGTCCCACAGTTTTGCGAGTCGTCTGTTCCTGAAATGTCTAGCCGAAGCCAGGTGCTCGAGTATCCGGTCTCTGCGGACTCTCACCGGGATCTCGCAAGATTTACAGTACAGTATTTCCAGTACGGTCCTTTCTCCGGAGTTGTGCTGCTCCATCGGCTGCCTCTTAACTCCTAGATCGCTGAACTCGGCAGCATAGTCGTGCAATGTCTTCTTTTTTCTCCCCATCTTTGGGAGAGCATATACGGCGCTGTTCAGTTTCTATTATTTTTTTCCTGATAAGCCAGAATAGACCGATTCGTTATAAGATACGGAGTGTCTATTTGCACTCTGGTGAAAATAGTCACACGACATCTATTCGGCTATTTACACCCGGCCTCCTCACTCCCCGCCCTCTGACTCCCCCAAAAAACGAAAACACTCTGTTGCATGCATGTCCATAGCCAGCTATGAGGTCACCGAAGTCTGGACAAAGGTCATTTTTTTAGACCTGGGGGGGAAAATCAGTGCTAAAAACAACTGGATAAAAAATCAGCAGTAGAAAACTTCTTATCCGAGATGAGTGCTGCTTAATACAGTTGAGACTTATAGGGTCCCCGGAGAGTCGTGGGAGAGCGCGGGCGAGCCCAGCCCCCAGCATCAGCCCCCTCCACTGACAGCAACTGGAATTTACAGACGCTGGCGGCAGCCGCGTAGCAGGCTTGTGTGTGAACTGGCAGGAAGCATATCATTCGGTAAGACAAAGCAATGACCGTTTCGCCATTATCTGTAAGAAACGTTCAGAACAGTTACCTGGGATAGCGTCTCGAGAGAAGGCAATTGTATGAAACATGTGAAATATGTGCACTTTGCCCATGATGAAGGTTAGGCTATTTCTCCACACACACACACACACACACACACACACACACACACACACACCACTAAGTGTTCTAGTTTAAAGTCACAGACAGGGGAAAGGATGTGGCCAGACCTGTATCCATAGAAAGTCTGTGTTTTGCGTGGCAGAGGGTAGTCAACATCCGACATCAAAACAATCCAGTTGGTGTAACAGTTAAAACACCAATATACCCAGTTTCTTGTATATGGCAACAGGTCTCTTTATTTTTCAAATCCTGACCATGGCCCTTTAGGTCCCACGGTTGCACCACGTCACTTCAGGCGCTGAAGGCACCGGAGTGGGATACAAATATAAAAGTTAGGGTATATTAAACACAAAATGTACACTTGTTTTAGCAATAGTTAGCTTTCTGAAGCCACACAGTAATCTTGCAAACTAGCATTAGCACCAGCTACACTTAATTGTAATTCATTTCTTAGAATGAGCTAGAATTCCCGTCTTGTGTGTAATACATGGGGAAGAATTTTCTGCAATAACGACCTGTGCAGTTTCACTTTCATTAGCCATGCAAGTTTGTGTGGAACAGCATTATTGGTTACTCACACCTGGGTGACAATAGCATCTGCCTGCTATACCGACCCGGGTGCAAATAGCATTGTTGGCTACTGACACCTGGGTGCAAAAAGCATATGCCTAAAAAAACCCTCCTGACGGCGACATGTGACATAATTGACAACAATTCATTTAATTTGAAACGCTGCATTGCAAAAAAAAAAAAAAAAAAAGACCCAAGCTATAATTAACTCAAAGTAACCTAAATGTACATATAAAATAGACAGGGGCTGAATACACTGCTTTTTTAAAAGAAACTGAAGGAAGTTAATAAATAAACGTTTAAATTGTCGTTGAGATCCTTTCCGGTAAATTAATAACAGTGACACTGGTTAATTGACATTTGGCAAAAACATCGTTTAGGATTATCACGCCACAATGTAGCGCTGGAAAAGTTGCATGTGTTGGATGTTTGGCTATATTTACGATGGCAAAGAATCAAACACAAAGCAAGCTAGCTTATACACTGTACTTATCTACCGCCTCTTCGGTTTATCACTGTACCACCCATACAGCAGTTATAGGTAGCTAAGCCAGCCGCCTGGCCACTTAACGGTCGGGGGCGTCTTAATTCCTTAGTAAAAAAGTGGTTTTGCGTTCATCTTCGCAGCTAACAGATGTTAGCAAGCTAATCAGGGCCAGTCGCCTTTACTTTGGCGATCCAAAGACCCCGACAGAGGCACGGACGAGGAGCGCTCGGCTAACTCATGGCTCCGGCGGCCAAGCTTCGCCTTGTCAGGCTTTCGTGAAACCAGTACTTACAGGTGACTGGGCTTGCGGTCCCACAGTTTTGCGAGTCGTCTGTTCCTGAAATGTCTGGCCGAAGCCAGGTGCTCGAGTATCCGGTCTCTGCGGACTCTCACCGGGATCTCGCAAGATTTACAGTACAGTATTTCCAGTACGGTCCTTTCTCCGGAGTTGTGCTGCTCCACCAGCTGCCTCTTAACTCCCAGATCGCTGAACTCGGCAGCATAGTCGTGCAATGTCTTCTTTTTTCTCCCCATCTTTAGGAGAACAAACAGGTAGCTGTTCAGTTTCTGTTATTTTTTTCTGATAAGCCAAAACAGCACTCGGTGCTGCAAGATACACCGATTCGTTATAATAAGATATTATGCGGTGTGTTATTTTTTTTTTAAAAAAACGGAGTGGCTAACCGCTATCTAGCGAAACAACACATTATATACATATTTTTTTGCCCGATGACCAGATTGGTGTGTTTTTTCCACATTTAGCAATTCGGCGACACTTCCTCCAGCGTGCAACCCGTAAAGTGCTTTATTCGGTGTTTATCGAATTAAAGGGGTCTCATTGTTTGTCGTTTCCTTCCGCTCTTTCGCATTATTCTTTGTTTAGCTTCATATAACCAACAAGCGAGCTGTTTAGCGGCTTGGGGATTATTTGTACGGGACAACTCCTTCCTCGAATTTTACTTTCAATAATGTCTATACTGATAGAAGATCTTATGTAAATTTATCCAGAAGAATCTGTGAACTTCTTTATATATTGCTGAAATCACACGAGTAACCGAAGTATATCTTACAACTTGTTTTCTCCTCATCCTGTTTGACTCAAACTTTTTTTTATGTTGCACTTCTATGTGTTTGATAACTAGAGCATCGACCATTCAAAGCAGACGTTTTTATATGCTGTTAAAGGTTTTAAAATGAAATTATTTCATACAAGTATCTTGTCATGATGTTTATTTTCAATAGTTGAACTGGAGTATTACATCTCGTGCCGGTATCCTTCTCATCTTGTCAGGTTCTATGGGCAGTCTATCCACTGCCAGATGAAATATGGGATATGTATATAGACTTATTGAATATAGGTCCACCCCCCCACACAGACATAATTTGATTTTATACTGATTTTAATATTTATGTCACCATAATTATATAATGTTCATAATTTTTAGCATTTATTTCAATTACTGTCGTTGTTTAACTTAGTCCACATGCCTATTTCTGATACTGGTATCAAAACTGACATGACATTAGCATGACTGGAGAAAAGTAAGGGGCAGCCCAGTGACCTACAAAGATGGAGGTTCAAATCCCACCACCGTTTTGTGTGTATGTGGAGTTTGCATGCTCACCCCGTGTCAAGTGGGTTTCCCCTAGATACAGTGTTTCCCCCCACATTCCAAAAGCATGTAGTTAGGTTATTTGGCATTTGGCATCTCATTGGCGTCATTGTACTTGATGTGTGAATGTGTACCAGGCCATGGACTGACATCCCATCCAGGGTGCTCCCTGGCTTTTGGCCTCTGCTTCCTAGGAAAAGCTCTAACCCAGGGGTCTCAAACTCCAGTCCTGGGGGGCTGGAGCCCTACACAGTTTTTGGTTTCCTCTCATTTAACACACCTGCTTCAACTCCTTGTGCTAATTACCACACAGCTCTTGAGCTGAATCATTTGTGGCGAAAGGAGGAAAGAACTAAGCTACACAGGGCTCCGGCCCTCCAGGGCTGGAGTTTGACACCCCTGCTCTAACCAGTGGCCTAAAGTAGCCATTTTTCTTTTGATTCTTTCCTTCTTCACTGATATTCTCTCCTTTTGATAGCAGTTATCTGAAAGTAAATGTCGAGATTGATCTTCAACTTAAAAATCCCCCTTTTGCAGTTTATTTTATGTACTTATGCATACAATTGTATATTTTATAGTGATTGATTGTACTCCAAGGTTGTACAGGAGAAATTCACTGGTTCTGAGATCCGACCAATTTATACAAACATGTAATATTTGTGCGGTGGAAAAGCGCCCTAAGAGCGTTAGGCTAGTACCCTGACAGACACCTCATCTCAGAGCTCGATTAATCTGGTCTGCGAGGTGCTCGGAAGCGGTCTGGCGGAAATAGTGACGCGATTACACTGCCTGGGGACACGCCGTAGCGACGCGGTAGTAGGTAAGGAAAATATTTTAGTGAGATACTAAGTATCAGTTTTATCGTTAAACATTTGATAACGATGTTACGTTATTGGCGATGCTAAACGATACAGAGAAACGCTGATTCGAAGTGATAAATGTATGTGTAACCTTTGCATCGTACATAAGCATTTCCAACATTTTAGGCTCAACTAACGAACTCTGCTTCACATTTGACCGGAAGTGAGTTGTTCACTCTGGGAGGGGTTGCTGGTTTCTGTAGTTTTAGATAGGCTGTTTTGCAAACACTTCAGAGGAATGGTCTGCAGTTATGGACTACAACATCCATCTTTACGGTTAATTAATTGATAGTTGCCTTTTTCTCAAATGTATTGTCGGTGAGAATAGCTTTTCTGTATTTCGATGGGATGAGAATTACTACGTACGACTGATGAAGTGTCACTTGTCATGAGTTAAGGATTAGATGGAAAAAGAGGGTTTACGATGGCTTGAAAAGTACGTTGGTAGTGGCATTTCACCAACGTAACTGGTTATCCCTGTTTTCTGTTCTCGTATATAGTATTTATTTCAACAAGCTAGGTAAGTGACTAGATCGTAGCTCACTGGCTTGTTTTTCGTGTGATCGTGGACTAACAGATCGGCCAGATAAGATGGATCTCCGTAGGACTCGTAAATGCTGTCTCTACGGAGTAGACACTTGCAGGTGAAAACGACACACGCGAAAATTATGACAGTCGTTACTTTTTATGGACAATAACATAATCATTCGGAAAGTAAGGGATAATGAATAAATCATATAACCAGTGTGTCAGAGGACTCTGACTCGCAGTCGTCCAAATCGCTTTGTTATACGCGCACATATTTACGTCCAGATAATGCCGAGACATGGTTAGTTAGTATAGGTGATTTGTAGTTTGGCGGGTTCTGTTGCTAAGTTGAAATTGAATCTACGTCTGTTTATTTGTAAAGGAGGACCGGAAGGACTAATTGTAAATCAAACGAACAGATAAAGCTGTCGATCAGCACCGGTGATTGAAGACTACAGTGCGTCCTGAACTTTGAATAACACTTTTAAGTAGCACTATGTAAACACCTGAGTCGATCCTATGTTATATTATAGCATTAGAATGTTTCATTTGATACTTAAGTGGCTATTTTTATGTTGTATATGTCTGAGTTCCACTTAACCCACCTTAGAATAGTTATCTGACTGTAAATGGGTCTTGTAAATTGCGTATTGTATAAGCCATTTAGTCCTTGAACAGCTGAATTATAAATGAAACCTGTAATTTTGTTCCTACTGATCTTCAGCAGAAGCAGGATGTCAGAAGGAGATAGTGTTGGAGAGTCCGTCCATGGGAAGCCATCAACGATTGCAAGTTTTTTCACACGGCTTGGACAGGTACTGTCAGGTTAAATGCTTTGATCCCCATCTGGATTATACCTCTCCTGGCCTGCATTAGCTGCCTCTAGCAGAGAGCCTGGGGTTGTCAGAAAGCTGAGACACCCTCCTTTGCATCATTCTGGAGCAGATTTCTTTGGGGGACAAATAAATTTGTCTTTCTGGGACAAATAAAGTTATTTGAATTGAATTGAATTTCTTGCTCCTCACTTTCACAGAACTCTCCCTATGGTTGTGCTATCTTCTTTTTTTTTGGTGGTGGTCGGGGGGGGGGGGTGTTACACACTTATTGACCATTCTGAATTGTAAGCAGTTTGGGGAGAGGTTGGGTTTTATATGAGACCTTATAGGGCACAGCGGATTTTGAAATGACAGCCTCTTGAAATTGCTTTGACTGTTTTTGCAGGTTTATCAGTCATGGTTGGACAAGTCAACACCGTTCTCAGTGGGCCGGTGGGCTGTGACAGTCATTTTGACAGCTCTCTACATGATAAGGGTGTACATATTGCAGGTAACCTATTAGATATTTCCAGCATGTTGCATGTCAAAATGTAGTGTGTTTTACTGACTGTTACACTGTGTCTTTGTTTATGTAGGGATGGTACATAGTTTCCTACGCACTGGGCATCTACCACCTCAACTTGTTCATTGCTTTTCTCTCACCGAAAGCGGACCCTTCACTCCTGGATGACGCCGGTAAGCGATGCTGGGGCTGAAAAGGGGGCCGCCGAAGGGATTACTGCAAGGGGTTTAGCTGGTATTGTCATAAAATGTTCACGAAATACGATAGGTTGCATGATTCTCTCCATCAAATAAATGAAATGGCTTTAAAATATTATGATAGTAGCAGTTTATTTTAGTTGTAGACGTGCTAATTTGTTACCAGTCCGCTGTTACCCAGATTTGGTACATTGTGCCAAGAGCACAGCAGGAACAGCTGAACAGCTTAAACACCTGCAGATGTCTCTGGTCTTTTCCGTGTTTAATGCTACCCCCCACCCCACCGCCCACCCCCCAGATGATGGGCCTTCTTTACCTACGAAGCAAAACGAAGAGTTCCGGCCCTTCATTAGGAGGTTACCCGAGTTCAAATTCTGGTATGGGCACTCGCAGTTCAACCTGTCGCATTGCATTGTTTAGGTACCATCGAAGGGTGGAGCTGGACTGTGAAAACAGCACACCCAGTAAGAATTAGAAGTAAAGTAACTCAGCTGGCTTGTCGTTTTACTGTATAACATCAAATTATACTGCCTTCTTATGTGCACATATATATGTAGTTATATAGGGTATGTGTATAAAATTGAAATCCATACTAAAAATGTATTTGTCCAAAACACAAGTGTACAACACAGATATTTTGTGTTACAAAACGTGCATAAAAATAATGCGCACAGTCAAGCCAGAAAGGAAATGAGTTTGAAAAAGAGGAACTGGCACATTACTGCATAGGTGCTTATATTTTCACACCTGACAGAAACTGAGCAGTTCGTAAGTATGTATGTAAATATGCTCATCGTTTTTATAGTTGCGTGATCTGCACATGTACCTCCTCTACTGCTTTAGTATTTAATGATTTACTCTCAGCCTGTTTCAAATTGCACAGCTGGCTCGTTGAATTCTGACTGTATGAACCCACTTCCTGTCAAATACAAATATTGGTTCCAGTTGAGTTAAACCAGGCCATGATTGTCAACACACAGAAATCGAAGATTTCCCCCCTCACAAATAATGCATAACATGTTGTACATTTTGACAGTATTCTTTTTGAGTATTATATACACACAGACCGTTTGTCACTTCCCGGGATGTATTACTGGGAGTTTAACAATTCATTTTAAACTGCGCCTGCTGAGTCTAATTTACATTCGTGAGAGGAATCTGTTTCCTGTGTCTG